TACTATATATATATATATATATATATATATATATATATATTTTTTTTTTGTATATAATTTTTATTAGATAATCGAAATATAAGATGAATAGATAGCTATCAAGTTTTTCTTATTCTTTTCTCTTGAATGATAGCAGGGACTGCACATTTCGACCGACTATATTTTTCCTTCTTTCTGAACTACAGCAATGTGGGCGATTTCTGCACGGTGGTAGAATATTAATTCGTGTCGAGAAGCTAGGGTAGGCCTTGCTCGAGAATAGATAGCGTCTCTTCGTGGGTGATATCTGTATTTCAACCCTCGAAAATCCTGAACATTGAGATCGTTATCGCATGAACTTCTCAGTTACACACGGACTACTCGCCCTCGTCATATAAGCAGTCGTGTCTTCGGAGAGAAGATGAATGGAGGGATTGATCATTTTGGATTTTAAATTTGCCTAACGTTTCCTAGAGGAATGTATCCTTCCAATGGTGCACTGTAGGGTAACGCATTTTGATTCACGCGGTATAATTCATTTTCTTTATCTGCAATTTAAATCAGCACGTTTCGAATATATCGTAAAATCGTGACATCGAAATTATTTACAGAATTCTTACAGAATGTGACGTAAGATGCAACTATCGTGATATTTATTTATGATACAAAGTACAACTTTAATGTTATTTTGATTAAGGTACTTATCGAAATAAACGTGCAACATTTTTTATAGATATATATATTTCTGTTTTATATAGAAAAATGTATTTTTTAATTCTCGAAGCTTAATGAGATTTTTTTCTCGATGCTTGTTTGTTAGAATTTTACAGTATAGTTTTGATCGTACTCAAATATCCCATTGCCTTGTTTGATTAATTCCGTTATGATAACCTAGGAATGCAGGACCTTTTCCTAGATGACCCTTTCATCTCTCACAGCTTTTTTACCTGCACTAAAAAAAGTGCTGGACGCGCGAATGACGACGAAGATGGTCGATCGAAGTCGTTTCTGTGTCTCTTTTTGAAACGTAGCACTTCGCGTTACATTTCGAGGATATCGATTTCTTGCCCGACAGCACGCAGCAATCATTATTCACGCCTGCCACACATGATGTTTTTGCTAACATACCCATGTAGGATTAGCCGCAAACATTTTTTTCACATGTGATTTATGAGCAAACTCTTCGTGAACTTCATTGTATTCGTGTCACGGACTGGAGTCCTACGTCCTTCTGACTGACCCTCTCGTCTCCTTTTTTATGTCAAAATATTAAGTAACGACCCTCGACGATAGCAATCAGTTTGGTCATTGTCGGAGATAATAAACTACGGCGTTGTGGTTTGTCGCAGACGCTAATCTCGCAGGTAAATAGCCGATTTCACGCGCGTTTCAATCGCCGTTTTTTACGATCTCACGCAAATTTTATTGCGAATTTACGAAAGCGTGTATAACTTTTTTGACGATTTCACCTCAGATTGACGTAATAAGCGCATTCAATACTCAATATATGTCATTACTATAAAATTTTTTATTTAACATTCGATATGCATGATGATTTTACCTTATTTTTAATTTAATAATTAAATGGATCTTATTCAGATGGTTTCTGATATGACTTAACTTGTAATGAATTTGTAATTTGATTTTAAAGATTTTTCTTTGTAGCTTTTGATGTGCAAGATTATTTGATTAAACAGCATCTAGACATAGATTGATTTGTCGAAGAGACGCTTACCTTAACATTACGTCGTTTAATGATCCCTTTACGAATCTTTCATGTGAAAGATTACGGTAATTAATTCGGAACACGTCCTCGCATCACTATTACATTTCCCATCGGCAATCGGCCGTGCACGGTCATT